ATGCTAACGGTACGCCGCTAAGGCCCGTAGGCACAGCTTGCGTTCGCTCGGTAGGCCCGCGTGCTCGGCTCTCTCGGCGATGGCTAGCTACGATGACTCTTGCTAAATAAAATAGCTTCTCTATACTCTTTCCACTCCCAAGAGCTTCTTGAACATAGGTATGTGCTAACGTACACGGCTAGAGAAGAAATAGCTCGGTACTAGAATTCTTTTGCTATTTCATGCGCATGGACTTATACTATCTCTTTCTCTCGGCTTTCCTCTCTAACTTTTTATATAATTTGATAAGCATGGAGAATTTAGATACACAAGAGTAAAATTTCCTTCTCGTCCTAATGACACGTGTAATATCCCGATATTTTATCGGTATAAATTACGTTTTAATTCCGATATGATAATGTTAACGTTTATTATTTTCGGAATTAATTATTTTCAGTCGAGCTTACCGAAATTTATTTTCGACATACCGATTACGTTCGGAATAATTTTGGTAATTAAGCATTATGTTTAATTAAATAATTAAACATAAATTGAGTGATTAATTATAATTAATCACCATGTTAAGCCTTAAGAACCGTCCAAAAATCTATACATATATGTTGAAACCGTACGGATTTTATCCTCACTTGAATTGTTTTAATTCTCCAAATTTGCTCCAATTGTCGTGAGGGTCTTCAAAGTGGGGAAACCAAATAATTCCTTTGTCTTAAGCTATACACGTGCATTAAGGAGAAGTTAAGGAGGAAGCTTAGTCATCATCAAATCATCCCAAATAGAAGCATATGACAAGAGCTCAAGGTGGCCACGCCACACTAACATCATCACCTTCCCCTCTCGCCCGTGTATATAAGGAACACTTCAACCAAAAATTTTCCCCAATTTTCCTATAAGGCATACTCCTATATTCAGTATATCTTAGCTTCTCTCAACAACAACCAAAGTCAAGCAATTTCCCTAAGTTTTGCATTAAGCACGCACGGCAAAGATAGTATAAGCGCACGGAACACGCAAGGACAAGAAGCACGCCCTATTTTCCCAATTCAGTCGAGCGATTCAAGAGGTAACGTCCTCCCCATCTTGTATTTATGTTGATAATGTCATGACAAGGCTAAAGGTTCGAATCATGTGCGAGAATTTTTAGTAAAACCGTGCTTAAGTCCGAATATGCGTAAGTAAGATCGCGACCGAACAACTTTCAATTTTTCCCGGCAACTCTCGAACTGTTGATGTTTAAATGTTCAGTTTAACTGATTTCATGTTCAGTAAGTTCAGATTAGTCGAGGCAAAATGAAGTTTTGTCGATGAATTGGCCCACGCCGTCGCTAGCGCCTATCGTGCGTAGCCACGGGCGGCCGCGGTCCATGTCTTAGCAATCTCAGTATAAATCATGTTCCGTCCGTGTGTTTATGTTTTAAATTGCCTCATATTAATGTTCATGTCAAGTTGTTCTGGAGTTGCCGAATAATAAGGTGTTTTGGACGAGAGACGGCGTATAGCCGTCAGCGGCGCACGGCGCGCCCGCCGCGGCCCTTTCGTGTTCTTCATGCATCAGTTGCGTTTTAAGGTCATGATTGATAATATGTCATGTTAGATCAGAAAAGGTTCAAAGAAGTCAGTTCGGTCGGAGAATTTTGTCGGACGGCCGGCAAGGGCCGGCCGTGGTCGCGCTGCCGCACACAGCGGCAGCAGCGCATCGGCCAGCGTTCAGCGTGACAGGCAGCGCGCG